GTTGGTGAGAGTGGTCTCAGAAGACATGGTCGATAATGAAGTTTTCGACCCGAGCGTTCTTGACAACCTTGTGTCAGAAGTGCCTCAACTCTCAGAAGCCCAGATCGAACTGGAAAAACTTAAGATCGAAGCTGAGACCCAGATTAAGCTGGTGAGAATTAGTCAGGAAACCCGTATCAGAGAAATAGAACAAGAACAATTAAGACACGAGAGGGAGCGGAACAACTTTGACCTCACCAAGCAAATCCGACTTGTGCCTACATTCAACGAAGAAGACGTGGATAAATATTTCCAACACTTCGAGAAAATTGCTTTAAATCTAGAATGGCCCATCGAAGCCTGGCCGACATTGCTACAGACAGCTTTGAAAGGTAAAGCACAAGAAACGTATGCCTCACTCTCAGTTGCGGACAGTGCCGACTATAACGTCGTAAAATCATCGATCCTGAGAAACTACGAATTGGTACCAGAAGCATATAGGCAGAAATTTAGGGATCATAGAATGGACGAAAACCAAACCTATGTAGAGTTCTTTAGGCAGAAAGAAACATATTTCGACCGATGGATTTCGGCGAAAGAAATAGGGGCGGATTATGATAAGTTAAGACAGTTAATCTTAATTGAAGAATTTAAATGGTGCGTTCACGACGACCTCAAAACATTCCTCAACGAAAGACAGGTCGACACAGCCTACGAGATGGCTACCCTCGCGGACGAATACGCACTAACTCATAAGCGAGGCAAGAACGAATCAGAGGACCCATCTGAATATGGGAGAAGCACAAAGCCTCGAGTAATGGCTAGTGCTGGTCCGAGGACAAGATCTGGTCAGGTAAACTACCCACATCGACCGAACAGCTCGAAGTGTAAACGGTTTGATTCTGATTCCTTTACCCCACGACGGACGGAAGGAGGGAAAAACATAACGTGTTACTACTGTGGGAAGGTAGGACACATAGCGGCGAATTGTTTCGAGAAGAAAAGTGTCAAATGCAGAAGTGCAGTCTCAAATAAACCACAAGGGTTTATATCATCACATAAGGATCTCAGTAAGAAGATCAAAGGTCAAATCAGAGAGGAGTACGAACCATTTGTGTCGAACGGCTCCGTATGTCCGGTGGATGACCCCACGAAGAGGGTTAAAATCAAAATCCTAAGAGACACGGGAGCGACCCAATCTCTGATAGTCGAAGAAGACATGCCACGCGGATCAGAGACAGCTACGGGCGAACGAGTAGTTATACAAGGGGTAGGAAGTAATTTTGTTAGTGTCCCGCTTCACCGGATCTCCCTTGACTCTGACATAGTATGTGGACCTATAGTCATCGGAGTGGTTGATAGTCTGCCTATGAAAGGCATATCGATGTTACTGGGAAATGACCTGGCTGGAGAAAGAGTTGTACCCCATCCAAGAGTGGTGCAAAAACCGAGCGTCTCGGAGGAGACTGAAAAAATTGAGGAAATGCATCCTGGAACATTCCCATCATGTGTGGTGACCCGAACGAATGCGAGGAAAAGACCTGAGGAGATGAGAGCTAGAATGGAAAGCGAGAACGAAGGGAACGAGGTGGTTGACCTCTCCCAAACTTGTTTAGGCCATGAGATAGGATCGAACCCTATGCTCGAACAGACCCCAACATCAAGCCCTAACCCGCAAAAGGAAACGACAGGCGTCATGCCCACCATAGAAAGACCTATGGCAATCGAACAAAGGGAGGATAGCCAAATCGCTCCCCTTTCCGAAGAAACGTTACCTGAGGAAGAATTGAACAAGGTACCCTCAGGATACTACGTCGAGAACGAGATCTTAATGCAGAAGTGGAGACCCACACACACACCTGCGCAGGAAGATTGGTCAAGTGTACGTCAGTTAGTATTACCAAGGAGATACAGAGAGGAAGTGTCTCGGGCGGCCCAGAACAAGATGAAGAGAAAGTACGATCAAAACACTATTCGAAGAAG